ATCGACTTCTTTGATGAAATACATTTCACCAAAACTGAACGGTCTTCAAGATATCTTAACAAAAATTCGAACAAGCAATAGTCCTAAATAATACCAGTTTTTAGTAAATGAACTGTAGTACTAAAAAAATTCTTAATACCGCCTTAGTTATTTTCTCTAATCAGAGGCATGACAAGCTCGAAGCAATATTATTTGGGCATTATTCTTAACGACCGCTCGGTTTACCTGAACAATAACAGCTGCTTACAAATGCGCAGGTCGTCGTCGTCTACCCTCCACAAAGTGAATAGATGAGGGCAAAGTATAGATATGTAGTCATATAGTGTAGGGCGCGGGCTCGTGCAATCGAGCTACGCGGCTCGCTTTCCCTGGAGCAGCTAAAAATAGACGCTCACTTGCGATACAGTGTCCATCCTAATCGAGAACAAACTTAAAAACAAAGAGTAAGTTTCTCAACGCGTCTCGCATATTTTTCCTCTAAAACCCGCAAAAATACAATTCACGTTCAGGTGACTTACCGCCTAGTTTGTTGACTAGACACTGAAAAGATTTACATTTTAAAAACCTGTATAAAGATTACTTAATTGTATAAACATACAATTATCTATAAAATTTTCATTCTACTAACAGAATCGGTGTGTAATGATTTTTCTCATCTAAAAAATCGCTCATGACCATTTAATTAAAATCAAAACTGCCAAGTTATTGTAAACACATTAAACATTCAAATTATTACTTTAGTACTTTACAGGTAGTAGACGTTCTATTCGGAATAGTTCATTAATCATCATCACGACATCGTAAAAGCTGGTCGAAAAATACGTATGTATTTAAACACATTACATGAGGAGTTTAGCATTGAAGAAAATAGTTCATAGATTAAAGATACCTAAATCGTTCTAACCCCGACAGTCGAGCGGGGAGAATAAAAATATTTTTTGAGCCCAAAAATGCTACAGCATATGTTAATAATAACCTTCGGTACAGTTAATTAAGCCGACAGTTGACACCCAATAGCCACTCGTGAACGAGCATATTTATACACAAAGTTAAAAATGACTTTGAGGTCGTGACGCGTCATTAAAATGTACTTCGTCTCCATAAAAACAATATCGATTCTGTAGGGAGCGAAATGCGTTATTTATGAGAGTTAATGTTTGCACGTACCACCATTGGCGTTTCACGTCGCATAGGACGTTTGTCGTTTCATTCACAACTAGTTCATTCTCTTCATTGATACTTTATGTTCAAATGTCACACTTGCTGTATCTTGTTAACTTTCTAGTGATGTGCATGTATAATGAAATACTGTCACTCGTGGTCATATATGGGTCATATGCACGGGAGATACTATGTACTCAGCTTACACTGGCCTTTGGAACGTTTTGATCATAAGCGGCATAGAGTCGAAATTAAATGAGGTATATAGTAACTGTATCTATTTATAAGAAACAAGTATAATCATAACACAAATCTACTAAAACTGTTATATGGTATCAGTATTACATGTCATATAAAAAATTAAGTAAAAATATATTACTTTTCGAAATATATTAAGTGTACATTCCACAGCATAAATTTACAACTCTCATGTAAATAAAACTTGTGTACAGAAGATAACAACAATAGTCTTTTGACGTTTTGATTTCCGTGCTAAGTCTCATTCGAGTCCATAATAAAATACGAGTAGGATTGTCCTCAAATTGTTATTAATTTATTATTTACCACCATTAGTACTCCAATGCTATTGTAATGTACAAATATGTTAACAAAACGACAAAAGTTGAAAACACAAGTTGAAAATAAGAGACGCAGGAGATTAAACATCGTCTTTTAAACACATGTCTGTTCAAACAATTGAGGAAGAGTGAAAAAACTTGGGAAAAGTAATTCTGTGACTAGCAATCGTTTTACTGTTTTTCTTATAAAGTAAAAACCTCAACACCTCACTTCAATATTAACTTCCTTAACTTAAGAATGCGAATACAAAGTATCTGGGGCTACACATTGTTCTTGGGGCTACAACAACCAAATAATTCATAAAACTTTCTTATACATAACACAAAACTATTCCTGACTATAGAGAATGATAATTTTTATGTTTAACAATACTAAAGGGCTTCCTGAATATCTAAATTGATCTTAGTAAAAACAATCTTCAATAAAATGGTAATTCGTATTGTATATCTATATTCTTTTTCACTTCTTCGACTGAGTATGGCACATTTTTAGTTCGTACCCAATGAATCATCCTTGTGACTTGGGTGGCAAAGAGTATCGATAAGTGTCTGTAAATCGTTTCTTGACGAAGCCATCCGATTTACCTGATACTGTGCGTCAGCAGGTTGCCTGGAGGATACATAATATCAAATTTGAAGGCAACTAATTCTAGTTTCCAACGTTGTATTTTATCATTTTTATTCTTGATGAGTGTGTCTGATGAAGATGAAGCATATATGCTACCGACTTTAGATTCATAATGAGTCGAAATGACTCCCCAAAAAGAATTGACGCACTTCCTGATTGATTCGGCTATTGCTGTAGATTCTTTCTCGACCACAGTATAACAGTGCAGAGAAGAGTCCGTTATCTCATTTTTTATTAATTGAAAGCCATTTACAGCTTCTTACGGCACAGGAAATGTTTCTAGTGCAACAAGATAATGGATTTTATTTGAAAAAAGAGGAAACCATTTCGAATAATGTGCAAAAAGTACTAGAGCCCGTCTTAGTGAAGCTGTGTTTTCATGAAATGGAAGCTCTAAAAGTGGACGTAGTCGATCAGGGTCAAAGTTTATTATTCCGTCGTGAATATTATAGCCTGATTTGCTGTATTGAGAATTCGCTTTTATGTAGATTCAGGGTCAAGTTACAGTGAGTGGTGATATCGAGGAAATATTTAAAATTTCGTTGTGATCTTCTTGGTCTCGTCCGCACAAGGTGATATCGTCGAAATATGCGTATATCCCCTTGGTTTTTTCTTTAGCTAGCACCGTGTTGATAGCTCGCTGGAATGCTGCAACCCCATTTGTTACTCCGAATGGGATTGTACAAAATTGATACAAGTCACCGTCAGCTTCGAAAGCAGTGCAGTGTAAGGTTTCTCTCGTTCCAGAATCGGTATTTGATGGTAAGCGCTGCTTAACTCGATTTTGCTAAATACACGAAATTTAGATACTTTTGCTACGACTTCCTTAATTCTGGGAACGCATCCAGTTGGGTATATTTATTGATTGTCACTGAGTAATCTATACGCATCCTTTTTTATAATTCTCATTTAATGTGATTAGCACCTAAGCTTGCCAAGGCTGGGCTCGATAATCTTGCCTTCCAGGAGTTTCTTAATTTCCGAGCTAATGAATGCGGCGTCATTTGATGAGTATTTCCTTGATTTAATAGCAATTGGTTTGTGGTCTAGCAAAAGATTCGGGAACAGACTCAAGGGCTTTATTAGCACGTAATAAGGAACATAGCAGGGTAGTATATGATTATCTATTTCTTATAAGTACCAACTACTGTCTTAACTGCCTCCGTGGCCGAACGGTTACCATGCTGGACTGCCACACAGAAGATCCGGGTTCGATTCCCAGGCCGGGAAAAATATTTGTATGGCCTATATTTATTTCTCTCGTGAGTTTAGGTGTAATTTGTGGTTGTCCGCTCACACGATGCGCTCCTCCTACCGCAAAATGGTGGCTATTTGGTTTCGCAAATTAGAAAAGCATTCAGTTTAAATACAAGTTTTTATAAATAAAAATTATTATTCTGCATTGCTAAATAAATACCCTCCGTACTACCAACAAAAACATCTCAAATAAAATGCAGTAATACACCGAAAATCCTGCACGTAAAAAGGTAAATGAAAATTTTGGTGTACTTGGATAAATACGATAATATTCCGTTTGAGTGGTTCTAACGTTTACCATGAAATTACTCCTTAAAGTATATTTTATAAACATTTATATTCAGGGTAAACTTAAAAAACGCTACTTACGGTATGTTTTCAATAAATAAACACCGAAATCACCAGCACAAACAATAACACACACGATTGTCGCGACGTATTTTTGAAGTTGTTTATTTTTTCTAAATGACAGACTCAGGCATTAAAAACTTTATGGTTTGCTAGAGTAGTTACCGAAATAATTAATATTAGTTCTTTTACCTGTTATAACTTCGATATCCGATAAATCGGTATAAAATCATCACCTCTAGGTGTGGTATGCGTCTACGGCTGCATGTATCGCGTGAGCGGCAACACCAGTGTATGTCCATGGCACCCGCGATACAGGGTTTCCCTAGTGCGGGGATAGCCCAGACCCTATCCCAATTTAGATATAATATTATAACTACACTATATGGCATTCACCACAACCTTCTCAATATTTTTTGTTTGATAATAATATTGCTCATTTTCTTATAGATATATAGTAAAACCTCGACAACAACGAGCACATACAAATCACGGTATTTAAAGACCGTATTTTGTAAAAATCATACAAGAACTAAACTAAACTTTTAGACGATATGACATAAAGATCGAACATAATCAAAATTCAATAATAATTAAACATGTTTGTCTTCAATCTCCCACACGTACCCTTCTGTATTGTTCCCGGCATAATAATAAGAAATAAAATATTTGTACCTAAATCTATGTCGAAGAAAAGATAAAAGCTTCAGCAATTTGCTGAATTTCAAGCTAGACAACACAGTAGAGACGGGTATCTTTACTATTAAATATTTATTATACGAGTATAAATAAGATATATCCTTACTCACTTTAAAGAACATTTACTACAGAAATAATAATTTATCAAACTTTAAACCCTCAAATGACATACGTACTCACCACCGACCACACTGCACTTAGCAGTAAAGAGCATTTTACTATGTGCAATACAACAGGCAGAGAATGGAATTTAAACGAATTTAGGGTTAGTACATTTTTAATTCTAATTATAATTTATATATTATTATAATAAACCTAATTGTTACCAGAATGCCCGCCGGCGGCAGACGGCATGGAACGGTTCGCGTGTCCGACGCCAGATCGGCAGGGCCGCTATCGCTGCATCGACGACCACGTGCTCTGCGACGGATTCATCGATTGCCCCAGTGGTGAGGACGAGGATCGTCAGTCCTGCATGTTCTATAAGACGGTAAATATTATACCTCTGTTGCTATAGCCATACTACACTTTATATTCTATACTATATTCTTTAGTAATGGAGCTCCTTGTGAAAGAGTTAGTCCAGTGTAGTACTGCTACCTTACCTATTTCTATCGCCAAGCAGTAATGTCAGTATTACCGTGTTTTGGTTTTGAAGGGTAAGGGTGCTAGTGAAATTTCAGGCACATAGGCCTTGTCAACTTATGTCTCAGGGTAACGGGCGCAGTGGCAGTGTCCCTCAGATCTTTGTGATTTAAAGCTCTGAGTGGCACTGCAACTGTTATGGACAGGCATGCAGTTTACCATCAGGCGCACGACTTGTTAGACCCGTTGCTTGATATTATAAAAAAAATTAACTACAAAGGTTTAGTGATTAGAAGTAATTAATCTACGTCAGCATAAACCTTTTAACAAGACGTAGAAAATAAATATAATGGCATTCTAAATGGCTTTTTAAACACATAGTATTTGTTTCAGTGCTACTACTTTTGAATTTATTATAAACGAGGACTTATGCTACCATTTCAGACAAAGGCACACTTGGACGTACTGGCCGACGCGCTCCTACGGTGGGCCCGCGGTCGCTAAAGACCCCGGTCCCGACTCCGTGCTCCTACAACCGCCAGTGCTACTCGGACTCCAGTAAGTGACCCCCGACCGAGGGCCCGCGGCTGCAGCCCCGCGTGCTCGCGGTCGCTCTAAGCTGCGAACTCCCATTCCAAGTATTCGGGCAAAACCAGTCAAGACAACTAGTAGAGATGCGTTGAGCGTAATGAAACATATCAAGTAGTGGTGCAGCCTTTGCCAAAAACTTGACCACTTAAAGTGTAGTGTAAGGTTTCCGACAGCGAATAGACGCGAAACACATTTGACTCATGCAGGTGCGCGCGCGCATGACGCGTTGGAAGGCAGTGGTGCGATCTGGTTTCGTCCCAATTTACCTCTCGGCAGCTGATTTATTTTCAAGCATTTCGTACCTTCTAGCACTTATTTAACTAAAATGTGAGACTGGTAGTCGACATTGTTAGTCGGTAGGACATATACATACATAAATATTTTAGAAGAATAGTTCTTCATTTGACAAAACATAAATATTTATATCGATTTGTTAAAGTATTTATTCACTCTATGTATTTACTCTATATTAAGTTACTACATTCCTTATTATAATGAGGGTTGTAAAGTAAATAAGAGAACTCTAAGAATGTGTACATAGGTATACCTAATTATTCTGTGTTTGTTTAAATTCGGCCTACATTTGGCGAGTGGCGTCAATATACGCTCGGTTTTGCGCCGGCGTTTTGGGCGTTTGCGCCGACGGCGAACAGTTATATTTTTTAATTATGATTATTTATAAAATACCAAACGTTGTTTTGTCAAAGACCTTGAGTATTTTAATATGACATTCATCTCAACTATTGGCAGCTATTATATTGTATATCTATTATTATAAAGTTAAACATTTATATTAAAATATTTTTTCATTTAATTAATAATCTTATATTAGGTACGAGTATATAGAGTTCACAAATTACACGATATTAATTCGTTATATGCAAGATAATTTGATAGCACAGAGTTAGTGTCTCGACTGAAATGTCCGTGGTGTTTGCCGTACAAGTCTGAGCAGTTATCGAGTTTGGTCATACATCAGTTCCTATTGTTTATCTGCCATGTCTGTTGCATTATGTTATAACTAATGTTTAGTTAACTTTCAACTGTTATGTGATACACGAAAATAATTTTAGGATTTTTAGATAGTTATAACTACTTACTATGTTATTTATTTTATTTCAGTACATCGATCTATACATATAGAAGACAATTTGATGAACGAATTTTATTGGCACAACTTGAATAAACTAAATAAAAAAATTTAGAAGGAGCAACCTTGCAGTGCTAACATTGTTTATATTTCCCTTATGTTCAGTCCAGCAGAAAAGCTTAAAATATCGTATTATTAATTCATTTCGTACGAAATGCACTAGGGTTCACATCCATAAGAATAGGTATTGTAGATTTAAAGTAAATATTTTATATGTAAGCTCACAACAGTAGAAAATGAAGTCAATAAACCCACAAATATAGTAGTAAAAAGAAACCAGAGTAGGGTTAGATATAGAATTAAAAGTTTTACAGTATGTACAAAATAAGCATTCGACATTTATAATATACTTAAAAACAAACGTATAAATTAAGTAGCAGATATCACCAAAATCTATATTATTTACGTAGTCAATGTTGCACCAAAAATTTATATGATAAAAAATAATGAAAAATACTTATAATTGATCTAATTTTGTAGCATCATATTTTTTGTGTAGAGAGTTAGATGCGTAGATCCATTATTTTGTCTATGAGATTAGAAATAATTAACTAATTAACTATTGCATTCTTAGGATTAATGATAAATTTTATTAGGTATACTGAAAGTTAAATTATATTCTATTCCTAGTCGTAACTATGGATGTGGCATAGTGTTGTTTTGATAAACCATTGTGAGATTTTGGAGGCACATGTAAGCAAAATATGTTGATGTGAATTGTTGAAGTTATATCGAAAACAAATTCCTGTACCTCGATTTGTAATTAAAAAAAAAACAAATAAACACCGTTGTGGTGTGTTAGAACGCTAGTTCTTGAGCCATCAGACTCGACGGTATTTATATGAACACTAATGCACTAAACAAACACTGTTATTAATAACGATTAAGGACTCAATTAATTTGCTTTGATGTTAAATCTCACTTGCGCTTTATCGGAAAACATAAAAGACTTCTAAAATCGTACACTGCAAGGTAGGAAAAGACACCATTTTGAAACTATAAGTACAATTGTTATGTGGTCAATGGTTACCTATCAGTAGTCCGAAATGACATTTTCCAGAAATAACGTTTGCTCGAATTTTCATAACCTCGATGGTAATTTTGAGAGGAAAATGTTTTTTTCTTTTAAACCTAACTTAACCTAATCTAACCGAACCTAATCGTGTCTTTTCGATAAACATCCAGCATATCCTGAAAGAACTACGGTTTCATTTAATTCGGTTTTCGGCGTAATGATAATTTGAACAAACGTTATTTCGGAAAAAAATTCTAGTTTGTGATAGGTTACTGTTGTCAATGCAGATCTGATTCCGATCCAAGTGTGCCAATAATAAATTCCCTTGATACTTTTTTTTATTACTCGTTATACATAGTTCTTATATAGTGTAGGTTAACCAAACCTATAACCTACTAAGCACCACGTAAGTGTATTGTTAATAACCAGATGTGATTGTTTGTTGTAAGTATAATATCATTGATTTGTTGTTACAACATTTCGGCATCAGTCGTCAAACTACGATCATTTATACTCGTTTATCGATATTGAGGTGTATAATTTCAAATGTACATGTTTTATTAAAAGGAAAGTAATGCTCCTAAAGTATTATAATTAATGTAATTGCACTCAAAATTTGCCTGTTTCGTATGTGCACAGCAATTTATTGTGATATTTTTAATAATATTCTATAGGTTAAGACGCAGATCTCGAGAATAGACTATGTACCTATCAATGTGATTATTGGTTTATATATTAACTATGTATGTACCTATAACGTGTTAAATTTTGTGGGTCTGTATTAAATGCGGACTAATCGTGTTTAGTGGGCTTGTGGAAATGCCAACGGCTATTATTGTCCGATACCTTCTTCCCGTAGTATGCAGGGTGTATATTTGACAATCGACAAACTTAAGGCGACGATTATGCATGTGAAAACCAAACTTAACTTAAAATATAGTTTAAAAATTAGTGTTAAAGAATATACGAATCCCTGTACGGGTGCCGATTTTTTCTTTTTCACTTGTAATTGTGTTTACAAGAATACAATCTCTTTATTAATTTTGACGGTTGATCAAAGATCTACCCTGCAATTTATTTGGAGCTAATCCATTTCGTATCCTGTGTCGATTGATTTTGGAAACCTTTAGCAATTTTGGTCAATTTTATCGATATATGTGTATGTAGGTATATGAAGACGCTATTGGTTGTCCAGTGTATAGATATCGTGCATGCGGCGCTATGCCGCCGCCAGTACCTTCATCGCACACCCCTCACTAATATATTATATCTAGATATTGTTATGATGTATGTAAGCACACACAATGAGCACAATTTCTCTATACATGTATTGAGGACTTTGAACGTTTATTAATCGTTTCTACACATTTTATATGCGAATAGTAGCGACCGACACAAAACAAGTCTCGCTTATATTATACATGTTCATAAAATCTTCCCGATTCATTCAAAATTACAATCCTATATCATCGTTATAACTATTTCTCATACAGATATACTCGACGTTCTCTACGCTCAAAAATCGTTGAAATACTTCTTCGACGATATTTACTGTTGAAGAATAATATTTTTAGATGTCACCGTTGTAGATGTTATAACACGTATCACTTTTCAGTTGGTCAACTGTTATAAAAATCACACAAGTGCGAGTATAATTTCATAGAAATTTTGTGTACCGTTCATATGTATAGAACGCCTATTCCATGACAACAAAATCGTTAAATTTCGTCAGCTGTTTTCTTAAGAATTATAATTTAATTAAAAATGCAACTATTTTTGTAGATACATATATCTATTTGATTACCACTAGATAGAGATTTACATATTTTCACATAGTGTTACGTTTGCCAAAGAGTCAAACTATCCATTCTAACCGCACAAAGAAAAGATCAGAGATCAAGTCACATTATGTACGTGTACTGAGCGGCTCGTTGTCGTTGGTTATGTGGAGGACGGAATACGCTCCGAGAGGACACTATGTAAGTCGCGCGAACACCCTTTCACTTCATTCACTTCTGTCACTCAGACCTGCGAGTGACCAAACATTGCACTTGCACATCCGACACATTCCAACTCCTTTCTCTCCGAGAATATTCCCACTTTTTCAACCGTGTCATAGATGAGTTGCCTTGACATTTTGTAGAACATGTGTAAGCAACTCATACGGCGATAATCTTATAACGACTACGCTATTTTGTAGGCGTAATATACTTTTGGACTATTTATTATGTATTGTTAATTACTATGTATGTTGTATTAAGATAAAAAATTGAAAAACAAAATAAATGTTAATAAATGCCTCAGCCAGATGATGATGAGCGTTTTATTTAAAGTGCCTATTGACCTTTAAGAATATGCGACGGCTTTGATCTACGGGTAAGTGCTACGGCGTAGCAGAATGCTCACCTTTTTTATTTGAAATAATAAAAACAAGGAAAACCAATTATAGTAACTGTTTATTAAAAATATCCACGCGATCAATTTTTTGATATCAATACAAAGTTCCAATAAATATTGGTTACAATGAAACATATATTTTGGCCACAATGACATTGGCACTTGTAGTCGCGCCTCTGTGGGGTGATTGCGATTATGAATTTCAAAAATCTAGGTATTTTGAGAGATGTAAATGCTATTTTTGAATAGACATGTTGTTTGTAGACAACAATTACCCAATTGTACTTAATTACAGTTACAGACTTACAATTAAAAAGTGAATAATAACTACACACTCGTACATAATTGCACTAAATTTAACAATACGAACGTAATATTCAAATAAAATTGTTTTGTAAATAAAAAATAAAAAATGTTTGGAAAAATCTATGAGAGTGAAAATATAAAGGCGCTCTACATTTACAGTTGAAGTGATTGAAAGGAGTACTAGTTATCTCCTAACATACAAGCACTCCTTTGGCCAAACATTTGGCTTTGTGTTTATTTTCTAGATCAAATAACGTAAGAATTATTTTAGTTATTGTGCCATGTTTGTTCCTATATAAATATGAATTCACAGAAAACCTTTTAGACATACTTCCTGTTAAGTGCGAGATCAATCGTAAAACATGGTTAAATAAAAGTATTCCTAAACAAACGAACGTAACAAAATATACAATCATAAATGTGCATATTTTTAACCGACTTCAAAAAAAGGAGGAGGTTCTCAATTCGACTGTTTTTTTTTTGTATGTATGTTACGCGATAACTCCGGTATTTGTGGACCGATTTTCAGGATTCTTTTTTTGTTACCTCCATAGTGGTCCCACTTCATTTTGAAGAAAACCATCCACCTCTAAGGGTGACTGATCGCGCATGAACATTCATTTTTATAAATAACGTTTAAATTTTACTTAAGGAGCAATTATTGTGATGGTTATTAGTTATATAGTTAGGTAATTGGTAGAAAAACGCCTTGAATTGGAGAATAGCAAAAGCTAATCTCCAATTCAAGGCGTTTTTCTCTCTCAATATACTTTTAGTGAGAACCGATTTTTATTATCTCCCGTCAAGTCCCGTATAGTGGCGAACTAGGGGATATTTCAATAAAACTTAGCAAATAGATGTAATTCCACGTACTT